ATTGTTGCTTTTTCAGTCTTAGGGTTTCCATTTAAGTCTTTAATCCATCTTGAGTTCACTTTTGTATATTGAGTAAGGTATGTGCCCTGTTTCATTCTTCTACAAATGGAGATGTAGTTTTTCCAGCACCATTTGTTGAAGGTCCTATCTCTTCTTCATTTGATGTGTTTCAGACCTTTATTAGAAATCAAGTTGTCTGTAGATGGATATATTTACTTCTGGGTAACAATTCTGTTCTGTTGGTCCATGTGTCTATCATATACTAGTACTGAGCTTTTCGACAGTGTCTATAATAGGTTTTAAGATCAGAAAGCTCTGGTACAGCTATTTTTTGAAGTGCTGTCATTATTTTTAAGGAGCCTGGTGGTGTAGTGGTTACAAGTTGGGCTGCTAACCACAAGTTAGTGGTTCGAAACTACCAGCCACTGTGAGGGAGAAAGGTGATGCTCTCTACTCCCGTGAAGAGTTATTGTCTCCGAAACTCACTGGTACAGTTCTACCCTGCCCTATAGCTTCTTTATGAGTCCGCATAGAATTGAGAACAGTGAGTTCAGTTTTGTTCCTTTTAGGCCTTCTCATTCAGATTTTTAAATAAGGTTACTAAGTTTTCTAAATTAGCGTCTTTTTTTCTAAGCACACTTCGCCACAGAACTTTCTTACCTTATTAGGTACATAAGTTTGCTTATCCTTGACTTTTTTAATGAATTTTTAAGATTTCTTTGTGGCACAGCTTTCTGAAAACTTTATGCATCTTACAATTTCTAATTAATTCCTAGTGAAATCAAGTAGCTGATGCTTCCTGAAGAGGATTGTATATTAAACTCTAAAACAAGCCTGTTTTGTAAGTCCTACATTTAGCCTACTTGTGGGATATGATGCAACTATATTCTTTGAATTCAGTCTTTTCATTTACTTTAAATTTGAATCACATTTGTGGCTAAAAACCTAAGGCTAGAACTTTCCCTTTTTCTCATTCATATTTATTGAGATTGTGTCACATGGCTCAGTGCTGTCTGAATTGCCAGGAAAAGATAACTTGTCCTCAAGGAGCTTAACGTTTAGTAAAAGTTAAAGAATAAATAGGGAATTGCTATAAAGGGTGATACATGCTTTAGGATGTTATGGAAGCTACCAAATAAAGAAATCTATATCACACTTCAGAGTGGCCTTTTGAATGGCTTTTTGAAGGAAGTTAAATGTTAGATAACTTTGAGGATATGCATCCGAATTTTCTTGTGAATTTTATGAAATCACTACTGTGGGAAAAAGGAAGAAAAGAAATGCTGTTGACTCTTTCTAAATGTGATGGACAAAGCTGCCGCTCAAGACATAGAGTTTGAAAGTGCAAAGATAACACGTGGAGGAATAAAGTGCCCCTGACCCCAGCTATGATATTTTCAATTGCCTTTATGCCTGTGAAAGTAACACAATGAATAAGGAAGAAGAATTGATGTGCTTCAATTACGATGTTGATGAAGAATATTGAAAGTACCATGGATTACCAGAAGAACAAATAAATCTCTCTTAGACAAGTAGAGCCAGAATGCTCCTTAGAGCCATGGATGGTGCGACTTCAACTCACATACTTCAGACAAATTATCTAGAGAGCCTCAGTCCCTGGAAAAAGACACCAAGCTTGGTAAAATAAAAGGTGTGATCAAGAGAAGGACCTTCCACAAGATGGGCGACAAAGTGGCTGCAACAATGGGATCAAACATGTCAACTTTGAGGATGGTACAGGACTGAGCCATGTCTCATTCTTTTGTATAGAGGCATGCTCTGTGTGGGCACCAACTCACGGGCACCTAACAACAACAGCAACAGCCAGTGTGGTGGAGCAGGAGATGAGTGGCAAATAAATACGAGCCTTCTCATTTTCCATTCCCCTAGTTTCAGGAATGCTTTTTCATTTACTTAAGGATTTATTGAGATTCTGACACATGCCTAAGGACTGTCTGAAATGCCAGGAAAAGATAACATCCTCAAGGAGCTCAAAGTTTAGTAAAAACTAAAGAATAAATAGCGAATTTTTTAAAAGTGTGATATATGCTGTAGGATGTTATGGAAACTCCCGAGTAAGGAAACCCAAATCACACTTCAAGAGTGGCTTCTTAACTGGTTTTTTTGAAGGAAGTGCCAGCAAAGCTGTGACCTAAAAGATGAATAGGAATTAAACAAGGCCAAATTAATTGGACAGTGGATGGATGGAGCATTGGTAGTATTCTTAAAAGAAGGAACAACGTGTGCAAAGGCGCAGATTGAAGAGAGGATGGTGTGTTAAAAATCTTTACGTATATGCAGAATTAAAGCACTTCAAAGTGGCTGCAGAGAAGGCATTGCAAGGGATTCAAAAGCAAAGCATTAGCCACTCCCTGCAGGCAGGAACGCTGGAGGCATGTCATGGTGCTTGGTCTTACCCCTGATCTTAATATCTACTTTCTGTAGGGTAAGAAAAAAGAGAGAGCGAGAGAATATTCAAAGATGTAATTTAATAGAAAACCATTAGAGTAATGTTTAAAAATCCATTTTAAGAAACTACTTAGACATGTATACTAATTATGATAACACCCATTCTCTACTGGTGGTCAGTTAGCATTTGTGCCTCTGTATTTAAGAACTTCTTCCTTACTGTGCTTGTTAGTATATGTAACCATTTTTAGTATTTAAAGCTGTTTGTACTTTTCAAGAAGGCCTATAAAAGTATTTATACTCACTCAAAAAACTCACTGCAAGCAAATCATAGTGACCCTAGAAGGAAGATAGAACTGCCCACTTTGAGTTTCCGAGATTGTAACTGTTTACAGGAGTAGAAAACCCTGTCTTTTTCCCTTGGAGTGGCTGGTTTTAGAACTGCTGACCTTACACATTGCAGCCCAACGTATAATCACTTCGCCACCAAAAGTATGTATAAAAGACCCATACACCTCTTTTGGTCATCAAATCATATTAGAAAATCACTTGGGAAAAAAAAACTTTTTTTAGCTAGAAAATATCTTGAACAAAATGTCTAGTTGCTATTACTTGGGCACATTAATAAAGTTCTTTAAATAGGTAAACCAATGGCAAATAGCACACAAGGCCTTGCTAACTTTTTTATTTGCCAGAGACTAAAGAGATACTTGTTTGTCAGTGGTTTTAATTTAAAATTTTCATTAATGTGTGTATAGTAGGATAATGCATAATGAATTTTAGTGCTTGTTTTTTTTCAAATAAAGCTATGTTTCATAAACCTTGATGTTAATAACATTTATATGCTTCAAACACATAGATTTCTGATGTTTTCTAACTTAATAAAAAATTTTGTATGTTGGCAACTTTTCTGATTTGTTAGACATATTTATTTTTTATCAAAATTGAAGTTATCAAATTGAAGTTTTTTTGTAACCGGGGAACAAAAGTGGTAGGAAAATCTAAAAATCAACCAATATTAAAAAGAGTGAATAACTGCACCCTCTTATAATGTAAGGGAGGAATATACAGTAAGATTGTTGAATTTTAGGGAAAACTTATTTTAATAGTACTATTTTTACTTGTTTACTTGTTCCCCAGTTACAAAGCAAACAATGGGTATTTGATGACATCGTAGAAAAAGAAATACATCTAACAAGTCAGAATAGTTGCCAGCGGACAAATTTTTTTTACTAAGTTAGAAATTAGGAAAAGTAGAAAATCTATGTGTCTGATGCCTATGAACATTTTAACATCAAGGCTTATAAAACATAGCTTTGCTTGAAAAAAATGAAAAAACAGGTACTAAAGTAACACAGCCTTGCTTGCCAAAGATAAGGACTTGGAGGACTTGCTGACTAAGATCAAGAGTTGCAGTTTTCAGTAGGGATTAAAACTCAATGTAAAAAAACAACTGAAATCCTCACAACTGGACCAATGGGTAACAGTATGATAAGTGGGAAAAGATTGAAGTTGTCAAGGGTTTTGTGTCGCTGGTCCACAGTCAATACTCATGGGGTCACACAGTTTTGTAGGCTGGAAGCATTACGGGGGAAGATCCAAGTCTTTCTCCCATGGTGCTTCTGCTTCATTTCAATCCCATAGCCTTTTAGTTAGCAGTCTCCCACTTAACCCCCTGTGCCACAAGGGCTCCTGATTGAGAGCTGAATGATTTTGTTACTGTGGTTGTGAGGTGCCATCAAGTCAGCTCCAAGCCATAGTGACCGTATGCACAACAGAATGAAGTCCTGCCGGGTCCTGCGCTGTCCTCGCGTTGTTCCTATGCCTGAGCCCATCGGTGCAGCCGCCATGTCAGTCCACCTCACTGAGGACCTTCCTCTCTCCTGCTACCCCTCCACTTTACCACACATGATGTCTTTTCAGGGACTAGTCTCTCCTGACAATATATCCAAAGTATGTAAGACAAAGCCTTGCCATCCTTGCCTCTAAGGAGCACTCAGTTGGTCTTTCTTCTTCTACTATAGATCGATATGTCCTTCAGTAGTTCACGGTACTTTCAATATTCCTAGCCAGCACCACATTCAAATGCAAGATGATTTCATAATCAAAGTAAACGAGTACAAGTGAGAAGCATTATGACAATAGTACATGATAGAATTAAAGCATTTAGAAAATGCATGAATAAATTAATATGAGTCACATCCTAATGTAGGATGCATTTAGAGAAGTGGCAAGGAAGTCTGGTGGTGGGTAGGTAATGCATTGGACTGCTAACCTCAAGGTTAGTAGTTTGAAGCACCAGCCACTCTGCAAGACAAAAATGAGGCTTTCTACTCCTGTAAAGAGTTGCGGCCTCAGAAACCCACAGGGATAATTCTACCCTGCCCTAAAGGGTCGCTGTGAGTCAGAATTGAGTGCAAGGCAGTGAGCTTTTGGTTTAGGGAAGTAGTGAACTTTATTGGTTTTGCTTTTAAATTAAATAAAGGACAATAAAGACCAGGTTTGAATTTCTCTTTCTGACATGAGAATATACATAGCTACAAATTTACAGAGACTTTAATAATATCTAGTAATATTCTATTGTTTTTCAGAGGAAGAAGCTGCTCCAGATAGCGCAGTTGCAGAATACAGAAGAGAAAAACAAAAGTACGAAGCTTTGAGAAAACAACAGACAAAAAAGGGAACTTCCCGGGAAGAACAGGTAACCAAACTCCAGACAGGCATAATGTATTGCCTTTGTACTGTACGTGAATGTTATAAGTGGTGCCTAATTTGAATTGAGATCAGGATAATCACTGTTTCTTAAAATTAAAAAATATATATGTCTATATAGAGTAGGTTGACAAGGATCCTGGACATATGTACAAAGGCCCATAGTTTAATCTTTCTCAACCTTTTAGCAAAATAACAAGCTTAAACCTTTCAAGTTTCAACCTTCTACCCCCATGGTAAGTTCAGGAACTTTAAAAAGCCACATATCAAATCCCCAGGTATAACTACTGTCTAAATGAATATGATGAAGCGGACAGTGTGATTGTAAATGAAAAGAAGTGGTTTTTCCGGCCCAGACTCTCACAGGCTGACTTGCTAGTTCAATATTGCAATTGTACACTGCTTGGAAATAAGGCATCTAGTCTACTAGTATACTTTCACTGTAGTAACATTACAAAATGCTGCTTATTGCAAGTAATTCCTGGACCTTTAAGTAGTGATATACTTTTCTTAATGGTCAAAATTAAGAATGAAAATAGAAAGAAACAGTTTGAGAGTCATCAGCATACCCCATGCAGCACTTAAAACTTAAGAAGGCAAATCTCTTCAGCATCCTTTCGTGCTAAGAAGCATTTCTTTTGGTGCTGCCATATGTAAGGACATACAAGGATGTTACTTTGAGGACCCAAGACATGGTATTTTCAATCCCTTTGTATGCATCTGAAAATTGGACATTGAATAAGGAAGACATAAGAAGAACCAATGCATTTGAATTAGGGTGTTGGTGAAAAATATTGAAAGTATCACAGACTGCCAAAAGAACAGACAAATCTGCCTTGGGAGAAGTACAGCCAGAATGCTCCTGAGAGGCAAGGATGCCAAGGCTTCTTCTCACATGCTTTGGACGTGTTATCAGGAGATACTCGTCCCTGGAGAGGAAATCATGTTTGGTAAAGTAGTACGGGGCTAGTGACAAAACAAAGGCCCTCAATGAGATGGATTAACAGAGTGGCTGCAGCAGTGAGATCAAACCCAAGAACAGCTGTGAGAATGTCCCAGGATTGGGCACTGTTTCAGTCCGTTGTACATAGGGTTGCTATGAGTTGGAAGTGACTCGATGGAAAGCAGGTAAAGGAAAAATACATTTAAAAATCCAGGCTTATTTGAATAAATTAATATAATCAGGAACTATATTATACATTATAAATAAGGATCATGCACAGTACTTAGCATGACAATAATCATGGAAAAAATTCAAGAAGACGGTAGGTTTAGGAAATTTAGGTATAGAACTAATTTACTTACATGTAACTTCAAAGAAATGGCACATCAAGTAAAATTATGATAAAATGCCTTATTAACTTATTTTTATGGACTCACAAAGTACGCCAAATAGCAACTCTGATGAATATACTCCTAAAGATGTTGAGAATCACCCCTATTCATGCGTTCCAACTCCTAATGGCCCTTTAGGACAGGAAACTGCTCCTTTACGTTTCCAAGGTTGTTCATCTTTATGTGATCCGAGAGCCTCTTCTGTCTCCCATGGAGCAGGTGGTGGGTTAGTAGCCAGCCCAATTCATTACATAATCTATTATGCCACCAGGAATCCTCCCCACCATAACAAATACTTCTTAAAACTCTATCTTCAACAACAGTGGGTACAATGGGTACAAGAAGGAAGTAAATGTTCCAAAGTTGATTGTTGTAATGATTCTACAACCCTTCTTAATATGAATGTATATTGATTTGTATGAAATGTTCATTATAGAGCAGTAAACTTTTTTAAATGAATCTGTCTTGAACCTGATTACTCTATTTGGTGATAAACAAGATTGACACACCTCTGCTTTCTCGAAGCTTATAGTTTATCAAGGAAAAGAACAAGGTAAACAAGTAATAATACTTGTAAAAGATGAATGAATTATGGCAGATCTTTTGTTGTTATTAGTTGCTTGGTCCTTCATTGCCCTCATAATTGTTGATATATCTGAGCCCCCTGATGCAGCTATTATATTCAACCTTCTTATAGAGCATTTCCTTTATTTTCACTGATGACCCTCTGCTTTACCAATCATTATGTCTTTGTCTAGTGATTGGTCTTTCAGAGTAGGTATACCCAAACCAAAATCCACTGCCAACAAGTTGATTCTGACTCATTGTGACCCTAGATAGGGCTTCTGAAGCAGGGAATCTTTAAAGAAGCAAATAACCTCATCTTTCTACCATGGAAGTGCTGGTAATTTTGAACCGCCAACCTTGCAGTTAGCCGTCCTGTGCTTACAGTGTAGGTATTGGGCACTATTTAAAGGTGTAACAATAAGCTAAGGACCTGAGAAGACCTTCTTGAGAAAAACATATGTCAACTAAACTTTCAAGATTCATTAATCACATCAGATGAAGTGGAGTGAGGATTAAAAAATATATGCCCTCTGCAAAGAACCAAAAGATGTCTGGAAGGTCACCTAAAAGGAAAGAGATGAAGTTAGATAAAGAAGTAGGAGTCAGCTCATGCGATGTAGTTTTGAGCTTTATTAATGGAATTCAGATTTACGTTAAAGGAAATGAGCTAGTGATGGACGGATATGAGATGATCTCATTTGCATTTGGGGGTAATCCCTCTATAGTGTGGAGAATGCGCTGGACTCAGGCAGAATTAGAGGCACAGAGACTTGTATAGGCAGAGTCTGCCAACACAGGTCTTCTTCAGAACGATTTCTCTGTGCCTGGGAGACTCTCACTTGCCCAAGAACCGTACCATACGTGGTTGGCCATTTGTTACTTCAGCAAAAGTCAGCAGTCATCCCACTGCAGATGCCAAAAAGATAATCTGTTGTTTATTATCACCTTCCCTGTCCACCTCTCCTTTAAGAAATTCCAGTAACACATTAATTGACTCGAAGAACAGACCGCCTTGCCACTGTCAAATTGAGAAAGGCCTAGATCTAACATAATATTCCAGGAAACTTTTAAATGGAATTCCATTAAGACCCTACCCTAAGCCCCACTGCTTCTCCCGGCTTTCCTATCCGGTTTTCTGAGCCCAGCACACAGCCTCTCCTTTATTTCGTGGAGTGGTTGATGACTTTAAATTTCCAATCTTGCAGGTAGCGGTCCAGCACTTACCCAACAGTGCCACCAGAGCCCACTGCCATTAAGAAATCATCTCCTTTGTTTCAACTTTCTGTTTTGCTCTCAGAAAAGATATTTATAAGTGTAGAGCAGTCTACTTTTTAAAATCAGTGTGGTCAACTGGTATGTGGACCTCAAAAGCTAGGTGAATGAAGTCAGACACCAAAAGCACATGTATCACATGATTTCACATACATGATGTTTCATACGATGGATGTATGGCCTTGGTGGTGAAAGTGGGCTGCATGTTGGGCTGTTCTCCTCAAAGTCAATACTTTGAAACCACCAGCTTCTCTGCAGGAGAAAGATGAGTCTTTCTGCCACCATAAAAATACACAATCTCAGAAACTCATGGGGAAGTGCTACTCTGTCTTACAGGGTCACTGTGAGTTCGAATCCACTCGATGGCAGGATGTTTGTCCGAAAGAGGTAAATCCCTAAAGACAGCAGATGAGTGGTGGTCAAGAGTTGGGGACCTAGAGTAATAGATACTTTCAGATTAATGAATATGGAGCTTCCTTTTGGAGTTATAAAGGTGTTTGGGAACTAAATATAGTGGTTACACAGAATGTGAAGTGCTAAATATCACTCAATTGTACACTTTAAAATAGTTGGTTTCATGTTATGTGAATGGTACCTCCATAAAAAATATTGGTAGAGTTCACTTTTAAATTCAGGTAGATAGATGGATATTATGTAATATACCATATATACTCAGGTATAAGCCACCCTGAATATCAACTCAGGCACCTAATTTTACCACAAAAACTGCATTTTAAATATGCTGAAAAACTCAGCATATACATGAGTATATATGGTGTATCAAAATAAATTATCCCAGATTATTCTGAATGGTGAAATAATTATTTTTACTTTATTACTCTGTATTTTCCAATTTTTCCATAGTGGTTTTTTTCCACAGTGTAAAATAAAACAAGTACATTAGAAGTTTGTAAATGAGAGCATACTTTTTGCTTTTTTTGTTGTTTTTCATGAATAAACTTAAAAATAAAGAATATTCTCCTTATCTATCACATTGTTTGAAGAGCTTAGTCCTATACGTAGTTAGCCCTGGTGGCACTGTGAGTCTGCAGTTCAAACTCATGAGCCCATCTGCTGGATGAAGTTGACGCTGTCTCCTCTTGTAAAGATTCACAGAATTGGTGGGTTGGTTTTTGTTGCTTTGTTTTTTGGGGTGTTTTTTTTTCTCATTTATTTTTATTACTATATTTTATTACTTTTGGAATAGATAAAAATATCTAAACCCTAAGAAGTGCCTGATTAAAAGTCTGATGTTTGGGAGCCTTCAGAAAAATCTATGAAAATAATCCATAAGATTTTATAGTTGTCAACAGTTCTTCTATTGTAATCTAAAAAGCTAGCCTATACACATATAATTTACCTTTCTCAACACTGTTTTAGATTCTATACCATTGAATAAGCATCAGCAGTATTACAACATGCCCGTGGGATGACTTTTAATGTTCTCCAATTAAAATGGTATTGATATCTTTAAAGTGAACCAGGAACATATATAAGCCATCGACATATGAATGAATCTGGGGCTCACCTTAACTATAGCCCTAATCTAAGAACAATTAGTTCTTACCAAATGACTCTCCTGGATACTCGCCCTCATAAAGAGAGTACTGAAGATATAGTGATGAAGTGTGGTATGGTGAAGAAATCAGATGGTGCCTGGTTATCAGAAAAAATAGCATCTGGTGTCTCAAAGGCTTATTTTAAAATAAGTAACCATTAAGTGAGGCATCAACTAAGTCCACACAGAAGAAGCACACCAGCCTGTGTGATGCATGGATTGTAAATTTAAAAATCCAAATCTAGAGGAGGGAGTGA